CCAGCTTTCTGTCCATGCGCTGATGGGCTGACGGCCACTGCCCAGCTTTCTGTCCATGCGCTGATGGGCTGACGGCCACTGCCCAGCTTTCTGTCTATGCGCTGATGGGCTGACGGCCACTGCCCAGCTTTCTGTCCATGCGCAGCCCAGGCTGGGCTCTGGGTGATGGGGCTTCAGAGGATCTCAAGCAGGATGGTGAACTGTCCTCTTCTTCAGAAGTGGGAATTGTCCTTCCACTTTCTAGCCTTGGCTGTGGGGTCTCAGAAGTGCAGCTCTGCGACTCTCAGCACCTGCTGGTCCCCCAGGATCTGTCATTTGTCCCCACTGAGCTGGGTACAGAATCCAAGGACCCTGTCTTCATCTCTCCCCCTGCGTCCTCTTGACTGGGTCATGTGCTTTACTGATCAGACACTGTTGATCTCCAGAGGTGGTTTGGAGGACCGTGTGTTTTAGGTTTGTTAAATCAGACTAGGTTTCACTTTCATTGTTATTTACACTTAGCAGCTCAAGATTCATTATTAAAAAAAAAAAAAAATCAGTTCAATCTATTTTGTGATAACTTGTGTGACTAATTTTCTTTAGTGTGCTGTGAAACTTTAAGGCACCCCATAAACTCTGAACAATCCTGTTTCCTGTTTGAAGGAGTACACTGACTTAGTCAATTGAACTTCTTTTGATTCACTTTGTGAAGCAGGAAAACCCCCTTTATAACTCTGTAAACCTCCTCTAAGTCCTGGTGCACACCATTCTGAAAACGAGTAAGTCGGGTAAATGGAAGCAGATGTCAAGCTGTTAATTGGCTGTCCTCTTCCAATGAGCTCAGCAGCTTGGGAGCTACAGTCTCAGGTGATGTCGTTAACCACTGATAGGTGCTGACATAGTGGCTTAGACACTGTTGGCCGTGAACAGAGAGGGGCTGACTGTGAAGGCTTAATTAGCAGGAACTGTCTTCAGAGGGTCTTCTACTGAAGCTCCTCACATAGCAGAGAAGGATGAAGAAGAGATGGCTAGTTAACCTGAGTGGTCTATAAAATGCAATATCCAGAGGTCTTTTGTTTTCTACTTCATGTTAATATTTTCCTCCAAATATTCAAATAAAAGGGCTTGACTGGGAAGGCACCTCATTTCATTTTGTGACTTCTGAAACCCTTGGACTCAGACACACAGTGTTTGAGAAACAGAGGTATTTAAAAAATCCAGAAAACAGCTAAAGTTAAATTGGTTTTCAAAATAGAATTCTGCCAGTGTTGGTGTGTAGCCTTTTTGGCTAAGGAAATTGTTACATATTTTGTTTTGTAGTCAACAGTGAGCCATTTATAAAGACATCTGTGAAATCCTGGTCAGGGGTCAGGGCCACTCAATGTCCTGGTTAGTGGTCTCAGAAAACATCAGTTCTTAGATAAATATCATCTGCTTTCCCCACAAGGAGCTGTCCCTTACCGGGCAGGGGCTCTGTGCTGTGTAGCCCTCCCTCTAGTGACCGGCTGCTGTCTGCATCCTTTTCTCTTGGGTTTCTGCTTAGTTGTAGCTGTCTACGTAAACGGATGCTGGTGGTCCACCGAAGACATGCTGAGGACTTCTGACCCTGCGCGACAAGGTCTGATCAAGGTGAGCTACGCATTTACAAATGGTTAAGATACCGATTTTCTTTTCCTTTTACCATTTTTAAGTGTGCACTTCAGTGGCATTAATTATATTGACCAAGTTGTGAAAATACCACTCGTTCTTTGCCATCATCCCAAACAGACACTCAGTAAACCTTACGTGATAATTCTGTAACCCTCTTCCCTACAGCCTCTAGAGTCATTTATAAACTTGTGTCTCTATGGCATTTCATATACGTAGGATCATGCAGTATCCACCCAACGTCTGATTTATTCCCTCAGCATTTTCAAGGTCTGTGTGGCGGCAGTAGTGTGTACCAGGACTGCGTCTCTCTTCATGGCTGAGTCGTAACCCATGTCTGTACCATGTTTTGTTTACCCACTCATCTGTCGACAGCCACTTGGGCTCTCGGGAATAGTGCTGCCACGAGCCGTGATGTACAAGAATCTATTAGAGTCGCTGCTGCCAAGTCTCTTTTGTATACCCCGGGAGTGGGACTCTTGGGTGATTTCCTAGGGTAAGCACTGGACTGAGAGCCACAAGGTCTACAGTGTGAGCCCGCCAGCTACTTTACGGAAGAAAGATGAGGCTTTCTACTCCTTCAAAGATTTAAAAAGTCTTGTAAACTTTATACAGGGTCTCTATGAGTTGGAGCCAACTCAATGGCACTTAACAACAATGGTAGTTCTATGTCTAACTTTTTGAGGAACTGCCAAAACACTTCCAAAGTGACTCTACCACTTAAGAGTTTTTGCATTAGCAGGTGAAGTTTCCAATCTCCCCATATTCTCCTCCCTGATGAACACTTCACTTTCTATTTTTGGTGAATCCAGGTGGCCATCTTGGTTGAACTTGGCTGAGCCACCGCCTTACAAGTGTACATTTGCATCTGATTGCTGTGCTCATCTTGAAAGACAAGACCTCCTCTCCTCACAGTGTTGATGTGCGGGTGGCTCTGTCCATAGGTGTCTACAGTACTGTTTGATACTCCTTATGGAAATCTTTAAATACCCTTTAAGTTCACCTTGGAGAATAAGTTGAGTGTTTCTGTTGAAAACCAAACAAACGAAACACTCTTACAAATTCAGGTCTTCTTTTGTTTGTTTAAATGTCAGTTTTATTGAAATATATTTTCAAACATCATATGAGTATCATTAGTGACCTGTAGTACATCCTCAAAGCTGTGCACTGATCCCAGATCACTCTCCTAGTGGAATTCCATTTCCACTAATTCCAGACCCCTTTACCACCCCAAAAAGCAAGCCCTTAGCAGCCACCCTCTACCCCCAGCCTCTGGAACCAGGACCGTCTTTCCATGTCTTTCCTTTGCCTAGTGTGGACATTTCATGCCCCATGGAAAATTAAATATTTCCAAAGGTCATCCATATGTCACTACTTCCTGTTTCTGTGACGGAAGAACATTCCCTGGTATGGATGGGCTACATTTAGCTAACCTATTCATCAGTAGATGGATATTTGAGTTGTTTTTACTTTTTGCTATTATAAATAGTGTTGCTAACAACATTTGCATTAATTTTTTTGTGTGGACATATGCTTTCAACTCTCTTGGGTACATAACGTACAAGTAGACTTGCTGGGTCCTAGGTTAGCTTCATGTTTGACATTTTGAGAAGCTGCCAAACACTTTTCCAAAGTGGCTGCACCACCTTCTATTCCAACCAGCATTGAGAGAGGCTTCCAATTTCTTTCCACCACAAACAACACTTGTTAGTATTTTATATCTTTTTGATCACAGCCATCCCAGTAGGTGGGAAGTGGTATCTGGGTGTTGTTTTGATTGGAATTTTTCTGATGGCTAATATGTTGAGAATCATTTTATGTGCGTGTTGACCACATATGGAGAAATATCTATTCGAATCCTTTGCCGACTTCACACACCCGGTTCTTGTGTTTTGATTGTTGGGTCTCAGGAGCTCCTATCTATTCGTGATCCTAGTTGCCATGTGTCATTGTGGACTCATGGGACCCTCCTGTGTGTCAGAGGAGAACTGTGCTCCCCTGGGCTTACACGGGACCTCTCAGTGAACAACTTGAACTTCCAACCTTTTGGTTTGCAGCTGAGTGTGTTGACTGCACCAACCAGGGACTCTACATTTTGGATTGTTGTTGTTGTTAAGTGCCGTCGAGTCGGTTCGGATAGGGTTTACGAGGAGCATCTGGTGGGTTTGAACTGCTGACCTTGTGACTTGAAGTCCAGTGCTGATCCTATGGTGCCACACTAGGTACTCCATAATAAGTCCCTTATTAGATATATGGTATGCACACACACACCCCACCCCCCACACACCCTTCCCAATTCTCTGGGTTGCCTTTTGCAGGTCTGTTTCTAACTGCTTTGAAAAGTATTATTTCGCTAATATTTTTCTTGCACTATATTCATTTTGTCTTGAGATTCCTCAGGTAAACATGGTGGATGTGCCCATTTGTATTGCCCTGTTCTTTTTCCACAGGTGGGTCAGGTGGTATTTTGTGGTTGGGAGCTCTAAATGCTAGGAAGAATCGGCTCTGCTCTTTAAGTCCTCTTTGTAGAGTAAAGATGGTGGTCCCTTCATGCGTCATGGCTTCTAAGCTCAGACAAGGAACCTTGACTAAGTTAAGGCGCCCTGCCGCCTCCCTCCCTGTTTTCTGAAAAGTGCTCCATGCTGTTAACAGAAGGAAACATACATGTTATTTCCTCCTAATGAACCATGTCTTAATGATCTACCCTACCACAGCTGTATACAGAGTATTTATTTCCACTTCCACTTATAGAACTTTGGGTCCTGACTTTTTTTCTTCTTTTAATTACTTTTTGTTCCTTAGCCAGTTCTTCACAAATTACCACAAACGTTTTTTTAATGTTCTTTTTGTTTACATAATTAGTGATCCTAGTTGATGGATTAGAACTGAATCTCAGTTTTCTGTTTTCAGAAGTATTTCTAAGTCAGACTCGCCTTAGTGAAATTGCACAAATGAAGTACATGTTCATCATCTCCTTTCCCCCCGCCAGGCTTTGATTGGGTACTTCCCTTCTGCCAGATGTAATCTGCTTTTCTTTTCTGGTTTTCATCTGTACTTTTTAGGTTTAAAAATTGAAAACTATAACGTCCCCCATTAAACAGACCAGGTTTGGGGACTAACTAGTTGTTCGTAGCATCTGAACTTGATTTGGCTGCCACAGTGCGATACACAACTGTGGCGGCTGCTCAGAGTCAAGCTGGCGCGGTTTTCACAGAACTTTTCCTCATCTAAGATTTGGCTTCAGATGAAGTCGAAATATCTTACATTCTGGTTGGCATTGAGTCTTTTGTGCCATGTGCTAGGGTTTCTTTATTGTCAGAGCCTTTGAAACCATGCACACGTGTGTTAGGGGCCACAGAGGGGGAAACGGAGGCTCAAAGAATCGATGTGCTGCTGCTGTTGTTGTTGTTGTTGTTGTTGTTATGTGCCGTGGAGTCGGTTCAGACTTGTAGCGACCCTGTACAGGGTTTCCGAGGCTGTAACTCTTTACGGGAGCAGAAAGCCTCAGCTTTCTCCCACAGAACAGCTGGTAGTTTTGAACTGCTGACTGTGAGATTAGCAACCCGATTCGTAACCACTACGCTACCAGAGCTCCTTTGATGTGCTGCTAAGCTCCTAGACAGCCCAGGCCCGAACCCCACAAGTGCAGATAATGCTGCTGATTCACCTCTCATTTCCAAAGTCTTACTGCTCAGGATGAAGGTGCAGCGGGAAGTGAGGGCGGCTCTCACAGGTGCGGTGGTCCAGCTGTCTCAAGGCCTGCTCAGAAGGAGGCAGAGAGAGCGTGAAGAGTACCTGCTTGCTCTCTTTAAGCTTCATCTTTCTTACCTGTGGACAGTAGCTCTTGCCCTGTAGACCTCCCTGCAGCTGGTGAGAATCAGAGGGTGGCAAGTGGGTGTATGTGGTACCCAGTTAGGGTATGGTGGGGCTGCATCATCACAAAGCAATGTGCTTGGAGGGAAATTCAATAGAGCCACACTGTTACTTTGTAAAGAGTAGATGGGAGTCCTTTCATATGCCACTTTCGCAGCTGCTTGTGGCTGTCTGGAGATTCTGAAGCCATGCCCAGGTTCAAGCAGCCTGCGCGGGGCTCAGGTTGGCACTTTTGAAATGACTTGATGTACCTATTGCTGTTGGTAGCTGCTATCAGTAAGCCCCCTCCCCACCCCAGTCACTGGGCCCCAGTAGTTAGTTTCCAAATCCGTTTGGGAACTTCTCTGTTGAGCGCCACACCAGCCTCCGGGGACAGATGGGTGTTGGGTGTGCATGGAGGTGAATCCGGGTCTCCTGCCTGGGGAGGCAGAAGCCACCAGGAAACCACCACAGCCCCGTCTGTGGCCGAAGCAGTGAGGGCTTTAGTTTATGCTGCACACACCAGAACGTATTGCTATAAAATTATAGAAACATTTATTAAACAAAGAGTACCAAAATGTGAAGCTCTTGTTTCTTGACATACTCCACTGAGGTCTACCCACTTCTGAAAGCACTGTTTCCTTGTGTCCAACCCTTCCCTGAAGAATTCTGTCCCCTTCAATTGATACCAAAATGGGAGTTTAGGCATCCTCAAAAGACTCCAATTGTATTCCTTTGGAATGGTCTTTACGTTTTGGGAACCAAAAGAAGTCTGAAGGGGTACTATACGAGCTGTACGTAAGTTTTCCCGAAGAAATTCTCAGGGAACAGCCCTTGGTACCCTTGAAGAATGAGCAGCTGCATCGTTGTGATGAAAAAACAAAAAAGGATTTCCTGGCTGCAATTTTTCTGACCTTCTTCTCACCAATGCTGTTTTTTACTTTCAGAAAATTTCTTTATAATAAGCACTTCTGATCATCCTGAGTCCTTTGAGAAAATCTATCAAGATTACCTCTTTGAATCCCCACTTCCAAATTCACCACAACCTTCTGAGGTTATCTAACCTCTCTGCCTTGAGTTTAAGTGGCCCAGTGGATCCCTTCCGAAGCTAATGTTTTGATGAGCCCTTTCTTTGAAAGGGAGCCTAAGGAGACTAAGACCAGTGTGTCACTGAGAGAACTTGTTTACGGCCATCTGCTGACCACAGAGACACGTTTAAACACATTTTGTTTGGTTGTATGAACTGGAATCCTAGGAGCAACGCTTACAGACCTAGCCTCATATCTGATATCTTTGGACGATACGGGTAAAGAGGATTTAAAATGTAGTTTTGTTTATTTTGGTGGGAATTGGTACACCCAAATATAAACCATTTCAACCATTTCTGCCTGTACAGTGTAGTGACAGAGATGATGCTCTTCAGGTGTAGTAGTCCGGCGACTACCTACCACTCATATCCTTTCCCTAATTACCTGACTACCGTTACCATAAGCCTCCCCTGTGGTCTTTCCAGCTGCTGTTGTCAATGAGCTCGCACGTACGTAGTTCTTTAAAAGAACACAAGCAGACCTACTTTACTAATTAGGATAAGCTTATTTTGGGGCCTCAAAAAAAGACTAAAGAGGCTAGTTTCGGTTTAATGTTTAAAGTTTACAGGTTATTTCAAGGCAGTAGTTCCAGAGGTTCTGTCTGAATGGCTTGAGAATGCCTGGATTCCACTGAGAATTTGAAAGTCTCTTCTACACTTCCCCCTCTTTGGATCCATACTCGGCTGTGGACTCTCTGATCCAAGTGTTCAGGAATGGTAGCTGGGCACCATCCAGCTCTTCTGGTCTCAGGCAAAGGAGGCAGCTGTTTATGGAAGCAGCCCCCCTATTTCAGCAGGCAGGAGGATGAAGCCATTTTGATTTGCTGAGGATATCTATCTGCATTAAAGCTCAGTGTCTGTGTGGGTTTGACTTTGACCATAATCCAGTCTTCTCACTGGAGGGATAGACAGGAGAGGGTCCCAACTTAAGCTCTGGGATGCAGTGGCCTGTGAGTCCCAAGCATTCTCTGAGATTGGGTGGCCTGGCCCCCTTGGAGACGGTTTCATGCTACATTACTATGGCTCATGTGTTCATGGGCCTCGCTTCCATGGGACCCACTGCCTGCCCCTGTTCCTGGAGGCCACACTGGTATCCATTAGAAAACCCCATTAGAAATCATGATTGGAGTTTTGGCCTTTGAGTCTGAAAAGAATCTTGTGACGGTTGAACACACATTTGGCCCCGATAGTTGATTCCAAACCTAAGTTTATTGTGTCTGATTTTCCTTTCTTTCTCACTTAGTGGTTTGTCCTTTTGTGTGTTTTTTCTTCAAAGGTTGAGTCATTTGGGGAAAAGATTGTGCTTTTCATTCTCAATGTCATTATTTTTGGAAGACTGGAGAGAAATCCGGATGCTGATGACATGTTTTTTTTACCTCATTCTGTGAGGGAGCAAGCTAAAATTTTGTGGAGAAATGGTGCAGCTATTGGATTTTACACAGTCAAAATGAAAGGTAATGGAATCACTCGAGCTCGGAGCCCTGACCAGTTCAGGATCGGGGGGCATGGGGTTGGTAGGCCTCTAGACATAGCCACCTGCTTCGAGGACACGCTCAGTACGGTTGTTACCTGGAGAGATCTCTGGCACTATGAAGTGTCACTGATGAAGCTGATTTCATTCTGTCCACATTTCTCATCTGACTGTAAACAGGGTGACAACAAGTCCACTGTGGCTCCCCGAGGCTACCATGCCCCCGTTATGGTCACCAGTGCAGGTGATGGTGTAAAATGACTTTACAGGCACAACACTTTCTGTTTCTTTTCTTTGATGTTACCAATTAGCTGTCCGAAAAAAATGCTGCCACTCATAGTTGCCATGTGGTGTGAACAGGTACAGACGCCAAGACTTACAGACATTACCTCAGAAGAGGGGGAGTTCGGCCGCAATAGCAGGAAGGTGAAAAGACTGGCTTATTTTTAGGGACCGCCGTAAGTGCAGAACTGTTCTGTCAAAAGGATAGGTCTCTTCTTGAAAGTTGCTTTCTTGAATCATCAGCATCTCTGACCTAACCGATTCCAGCCTCATCATTTGGCTCTTATAAAGGTCTAAATTTTAGCAAAAAATAATTTTCCTGGTAAATCACCACGGGCATTCCTGTTTCCAGAGTTGCGTCTTTTCTCAGGGGATGAAGAGGCTAATTTTGGTTTTGAGCTGTGCTCACATTGTACATAGATTCCACCTGTCCAGGATGGAATAAGGCTGAACCTTTCACTTTTCCTCAAAATATGTATGATACCACCAGATTCCCATCCAGCAACTCATCAGCTGCTCGGTCATGGAGGCTAAGGGCCAGGGTCTCTGGGCCTGTGTTGGTCTTTTTGCCCTGAGAGCTGTCCATTCTTTGATTTGGAAGTACTGACCCACTCATTTGCATGGTCGTGTTCTTCATCATTACTTTTAGACAGGCCAAGAGACTGGACGGCAACTGAAATGAAAAGACTCCTTTGTAACTTGTCTGTCCTAGCCATTTCTGACCAACAGACAGGTCTTCAGTCTGTAGCAAATTCCCAGGTGTCCACTGTGAACACTGCAGGACTGCCCTGTGCCCACTGTGAACCCCGAGTGCCTTCCAGTCTGGGGGCTCATCTTCCAGCACTGTGAGGGATCCCACCACTGTTGATCCGATTCCACGCAGCTTTCTGAGGCTGTGAATCTTTATGGGAGCGGAAAACCTCCTCAATCTACCCCTCAGCAGCTAGGGATTCAAACTGTCATCCTTGCAGTTAGCAGACCAGTACATAACCCACGAGGCCAACTTTCTACAGGTGTACTTAATGACAGTAATGCCATTAATCAACTGGGTACTCCGTAAGCAGTAACCCCTCATCTACTGCTCCCTACTGCCCCGAGTAACCCCTGAGAAACTTTGGTTTCTACACCTTTGCCTGTCCTGGTTTTTTTCTGTGAGATGACACAGTGTTTGTCCTTCTGTGGTTGAGTTACTTCACTCAGCATGACATCTTAAAGCTCCATCCTGATTGTAGCAGGTTCATCTCTTTACTGGCTCAGTGTGTCCACACCGCATTTTGTTGATCTGACCATTGACTTTTAGGGTTCACCGTTGGCTGTTGTGAATCGTGCTGGCATGTACACTGACTTACAACCTCCCTTTACTGTCCCGTCTTCGGGGTATATACCTAGGAGGGAATCGCTGGGTCAGGTCTACTTTTAGTGTTTTGAGGCACTCCCCCACTGTTTTTCTCCATTTTGTGTTATATCAGCAATAGGTAAGGGTTTCAGTTTCTCCACATGCTTGACTACGTGTGTTGTGTTTTCTTTTTAATGTTAGTTATTCTGGTGGTGGCGGTGATATGCTGCTGAGTCAGCCCCACTCTAGGGACCCTGTGAAGGGTGTCAGGGACAGTGAATCTTTACGGGAACAGAAAACCTCATCGCTCTCCCATGGAGTGGCTGGTAGATTTGAACTGCTGAACTACGGTTCCATCCCAACATATAACCACTCTGCTGCCAGGGCTCCTTACTAAGCCAGGAGGGTTTATTTGTGGACCCCCAATTCTGTTCCATTATTGTGTGTCTGTTTGGTGCTGTGGGATAAAGCACTGTCAGTGGGACAGCAAGGTCAGTGGTTCAAACTCACCAGCCATTCCTTGGAAACTCTATATAGGGTTGCTATGAGTTGGAACTGACTCAACACCCCTTAACAACAACAACAACAACAACAACAACAACAACAACAACAACTAATCGTTATATCAGTGCTAGACTATTTTGATTACTGTAGCTATCTACTATATTTGTTTCTTTTTGAATTGTGATTTCTGTATAGTATGTTTTAAAATCACACAAAGTCAAAAATTATAATGAAATGTGCAAAGATCTGGAGTTAAAAAACCACAAAGGAAGAACACACTCAACGTTTCTCAAGCTGAGGAAACTGAAGAAAAAACTAAAGCCTCGACTTGAAATACTGAAGGAGTCTATGGGCAAAATTCGGAATGATGCAGAAAACATCAAAAGAAGATGGAAGGAATAAACAGAGTCACTGTACCAAAAATAAACAGTAGATGCCCAGCCATTTCAAGAGGTAGCATATGATCAAGAAACAGTGATACTGAAGGAAGAAGACCAGGGTACACTGAAGGCGTTGGCAAAGACCAAGGCGTCAGGAAATGATGGAAGACAAGTTGAAATTTTCCACAAACTGAGGCAATAATGGAGACACTCACTCATCTATGATAAGAAATTTGGAAGACAGCTACCTGGCCAACTGATTGGAAGAGATCCATATTTGTGCACATTCCAAGGAGAGGTGACCCAACAGAATACAGAAATCATTGGACATTATCAGTAATATATTATGCATAAGGTCATTATGAGTTGGGACCAACTCAACAGCACCTAAGAATCCGAAAGTGTCAGTCTTCTGACTTGGTCCTCTTTCAACATTGCTTAGCTATTTGGGAGCACTCACCATAATATATAATAAAGTTCAGGATTAATTTTGCCATTTCTGTAATGAAGGCTACTGGAATTTTAGTTGGTATTGTATTGAATTTATAGATTTCTTTATATAGTTGTTGTTGTTAGGTGCCACCAAGTAGGTACTGATGCATAACGACCTTATGAACAGTAGAATGAAACACTGCCCGATCCTGGGCCAACCTCACTACTGTTGCCACGCTTGAGTCCATCGATGCTGCCACCTGGCTAATCCATCTCATTGGGGGTCTTCTTCTTTTTCTCTGACCCTCCACCTTACCAAACATGATATCCTTCTCCAGCGACTGGTCCCTCCTGACAATATGTCGAAGTATGAGAGATGAAGTTTGGCCATCTTGGCCTCCAAGGAGCACTCTGGCTCACTTCTTCCAAAATAGATCTATTGGTTCTTTTGGCAGCCCATGGCACTTTCAATATTCTCCTCCAACACCATAACTCAAAAGCATCAATTCTTCTGTGGTCTTCCTTATTCACTGCCCAACTTTCACATGCATATGAGGGTATTGAAAATACCATGGCTTGGGTCAGGTGCACCTTAGTCGTCAAGCTGACACCTTTGCTCTTCAACACTTTAATTTCCTGTGCAGCAGATTTGCCCAATGCAACACGTCGTCTGATCTCTTGACTGCTGCTTCCATGAGTGTTGATAGTTGATCCAAGAAGAATGAAGTCCTTGACAACTTCAATCTTTTCTCTATTGATAAGAATGTTGTTTATTGGTCCAGTGGTGAGGATTTTTTGTTTTCTTTACATTGAGGTGTAATCCATACTGAAGGCTGTGCTCTTTGATCTTCATCAGTAAATGTTTTCAGTCCTCTTCACTTTCAGCAAGCAAAGTTGTATCATCTGCATATCGCAGGTTGTTAATGAGTCTTCCTCCAATCCTGATGCCACATTTTTCTTCATATAACCCAGCTTCTCAGATTATTTGCTCAGCATACAGATTGAATAAGTATGGTGAAAGAATACAACCTTGTCGCACACCTTTCTTAATTTTAAACCATTCAGTGTTCCCATGTTCTGTTTGAACAACTGCCTCTTGGTCCATGTACAGATTCCTCATGAGCACAATTAAGTGTTCCAGAATACTCATACTTCACAATATTGTTCTTAACTTGTCGTGATCCACACAATCGAAAACCTTTGCATAGTCAGTAAAGCATAGGTAAACAGCTTTCTGATATTCTCTGCTTTCAGCCAAAATCCATCGGACATCAGCAATGATATGCCTCATTCCACGGCCTCTTCTGAAACTGGCTTGAACCTCTGGAAGTTCTCTGTCAATGTATGATTGTAGCCATTTCTGTATTACCTATATCAAAACTTTACTCGCATGACATATCAAGGAGATTGTCCGATGATTTCCACATTCCATTAGGTCACCTCTCTTTGGAATGGGCACAAATATGGCTCTCTTTCAATCAGTCTGCCAGATAGTTGTCTTCCAAATTTCTTGGCAGAGATGAGTGAGTGCCTCCTGTGCCACCTGACTTTCTTGAAAGATTTCAATTTTCATTCCGTCAATTCCTGGTGCCTTGTTCTTTGCCAATTCCTTCAATGAACCTTGGACGTCCTTCTTCAGTTTCATTGGCTCTTGATCATATGCTACCTCTTGAAACAGTCGAACATGAACCATTTCCTTTTGGTACAATGACTCTGTGTATTCCTGACAGAGTTGTACCTCTTGACTGATCTGGATATGTTCTTTTTGACAATGAATGCAACACCATTCCTCTTCAATTTGTCATTCCCGGCATAGTAAACCATGTG